TTTTCTGGTTTTTTTTTTTTTTTTTTTTTTTTTTTTTGAAGCTTATGACAAAAACGACAAATGTAAGTTTGGAAAATACAGCAAAAAATTAACTAACAGCTTTAGAATCTGGCAAAACTGAAGAAAAAGCTGCTGCAACTTGGTCTACAGCAGTAAAACACTCTTCTTCAGTTGCTGTCGCATTGTCGTCTGCAGTTGCAATAGGAATACTTTGTAACAGATTTTTGCAAAATTCTTTAACACTATTTTTACGAGCAGCATCTGTCACTTGATACTGTTCATCTTCAGGCAGCTAAAAGTAGAAAAATAGGTGAAAATTTTTAGTCAAAATTTTTACTCTTATTTTCTGTCTTTTTTAGTTGTGTTCAAAATTGACTGATATTGTAATATTAAAATGTCATTAAAAGAAAACAGAAGAAAATTTTTTCTTTTTTTTTCTTAAATTATCAAAATCAAACTAAAAAAGTGAATAAACACCTGTGCAAAAGCTAAAAATGCAATCGGCAGTAAAGTTTCCTCTAAGAAGCTGCTGTTAACATCTCCTGAACTGTCAGCTAAAACTGCTTCCAGAAGTTCAGGTACTGAACTGGTTTCGTTAAAAGCTGATCGATTTTTTGAGTAAGAACTATTGGCAAGAAATTGTACAGCTGATATAATTGTATCGAATAAAGTTTTCCAGACGTCATTAACACCAATATCTGCCAAATATTTGGCTACTAAATATCCAACTCGAACAAATCTGCAAAAATGTTTTGCCTGTTATTCGGTCAGATAAGTAGTAGTTGAAAGAAAATTTTCAAAACTGTTGACAGCTTTGCATTTTTTATACATCATACATGCAAAATCATCGACAATTTATCAACATCAAAACAGATTTAGCTTCAAAAGTGTTAAATTTTGTGGTAATTTAACTGCTGCTTAAATTACAGTATTTATAAAGCAATAATTTAGGTATCGAATGTGTTTTTTGAAAGTTATAGAAACAAAATCATAGTTGAAAAGATTTTTAACATTTTTTTTTTGATTTAAGATTAGTTTTAAGATAGTTTTTTTGTATTACAAATAATATTTTAAAAACAGTGTTAGAAGACTTTACAGTGATTGACGACTTTTATTGGTGTTGATAAAATTTCTGTCGTCACCGGTTGACGGAGAAGGTTTACACGTGTTTAAGATTGAGCATAAGAAACTCTGCGTAAACGGTAAGATCCCAGCTGATGGTAATGCTTTTGCATCATAGTGGCCTGAAAATTTAAATTTTTTAGCTATTTCATGTGTAACTTTCAAAGAAATAAAATACGAGTGCTAAAAGATGGCAAAAACTTTTAAAGAAAAAAAAATATAGCTTTTTTTAGTTAACATATAAATTAATTAAAATTTTTTGTTAGATATTTTGTAATAACTAATAAACTTACAAACTGGATGAGATTCATAGAAATTTCTAGTTCTAACAATAACTAAAACTGCGAATAGGATTATTGGGACGACAATTTCTAAGCATAAAAAAATCTGAAATTTTATCATTATTATTCATCCAACAAAAAGTTATTGTTTTGAAGATGTAACAAACAGAAAATACCATTGACTAATTTAAGTAAATTATAACCATTCTAAGTTCAGCCTTTTTTTTTTTTACGACTATCAAATTTATTGGCATTTTCTTTCTCAGTTACATTAATGTTTAATTGAAGTGATGTATGTAATCCAAACTATAAACTTGCAGCAAGTATATCATAAAGACGAAAGATTAACCTGCTAATTTGTTAACCGTAAATCTAATATAAAAAATTAGTAAATGTACAATTTGAAAAATTCTTTTTTTCTAAATATTTCGTTTTATAAATAAATAACTATACCTAATGTTAGTGTAGCTGCTTAATCATACAGTGCAGTAATCAACGTTACAACTGATCACTAATCTATAAGCTTATCCAAAGAAAAGAAGCCTTTGAGCAACACTTATATTTGCATTTTTTTCTAGTGTTGTTTATTTGTTTGTCTTCTTCCTTTTTTTTCTCTCATAAAGCTTTAACATGAAGGTTAGAAGTTGTTTAGAGATTACTCACTAATACAATATTGGGTATTTGAAACTGAAACTGAATCAGTTGGTATTTCATCAGGCAATTTCGTTGAATCAGACGTTGCAGTATATGTAATGATACATATGTGCATATATACGATTATACCAAAAACGTATTATTACTATCTTTATTATTATATATTAATATTAATATTGTCATCATGATAGTATGAACCAATTAGCTATTGCCAATGTACTTAATATAAAATTATTTTTCGAAATTCTACTGACAAAAGAGTGGTCAATTTGTCATGTTTTTCTAATGTAAACCAAAAGATATAAAATTTGGGTAACCACAGTTGCACATTAGCAAACGTTTTATTAGTGAATCGACTTCTTACCATTACTGCACATTATCCAAAATTGTTATACCTAATTTTTTTTATTCATAAAACGAATTGAGAATAGAAAACATTAAACAATCACAATTTTTGTTGTAGCACTAATTCTTATCATTATCGAAACTTAATAATCGTTTTCACAGGACATCACAAATCCACATAAGAAAGTTTTAGAAAACTTGTTTCTAGCCATCATCTTTGAGTACAAACCGCGAATTAATTGAATTTCAATAGAGGAGCAAATTAGAACAGTTTTGAATTCATTTTTTTGACAGCCTTAATATGAGGAAAGTCACTCTGAGGAAGTCAAAGACGATAATGCAAATTAAAAATTATTCAAAACTTTTAGTTTGTAAAAAATGACTAAAACGTTGTAATATAAGTAAAAATTGATAAACTTCACTTTTTTTTTTTTGTAACCAATCTAGCAATTAAACACAACTTAAGTTAAAAGCATTATATAATTGGCTGTATTAAGGTTTATCTATTCATTTTTACTAGAAAGCTGCTTATCAGCGAATAAAATTGTTAAGAAACTGGGTTTCAGTTGCAACACTTCAGACAATTGATTATAGTCTCACAAAAATTGGTAACCGACTTAATCTCAGAACTTTTTTTTTTTTTTTTGCATGCCGTGGGTTTGTTAATTCCATCAAAAACCTTTAGAAAATTGTTTTTAATCATTATTTTTTGGAAACAATAAACTGCATATATCTTTAGAAAAACGATATTAAAATTCGAGTGATAAGCACATTACTGCAGTTATCTGATAACTAACCTTCTGTCTTTTCCTTATCTTCAGACTTTTCCAAAATAGCCAATAGAGTTGGCGTCTGGTTGAGATCATGGAATGGAAGAATGTTTAAGCAAAGCTGAAAAGTTTTTAACTTTATTAATGAAGTTGTTGAAAAATTTTTGCTTTTTTGACGAAGACTGAGACGTCTGAGACTAGACTAGATATTTCAAAGACATGTACCAAACAAGCGTAAACAGAAGACGTAGGAATATTTAATGAAAACACTGTAGACCTAGCATAATTTTCAGTAAAAATCGAGGAAACTGAGTTTAACGTTAGGCCAAGTATAGTGTCGTCTTCGGGCTTATTTGGTAGACTGTTTGTTAAGGTACAACGAAGACGACTGACAAATCTAGCCATTTAAAAAGTGGTGTTTTAAAAATACGACTGTGAATCAAGCAACCAGTAAAAAATAAAAAGGAATAAAGTATTTTTTAGCAACATTTTTTAGCCTTTCACTTTAAAAGAGAGAAAACATGTAATCGAAAAATTGCCTAAAGTTTCTATGCTTAGTAAAATAGAACACTTGTATGATAAAGCTGTATGCTAAAAAGCAAAAAAAAAAAAATAAATAAATAAATAAACAAATAAATAAAAACGAGTAGTTAAAATAAATTTAAAAAAAAACAGCATCAATTTCAATATTGATTTATTAAATGAAACTATTAGTTGGTTATTTTTGCTCCCTACTTTTCGCTAAACAATCCTCCTTCTCAACTGTTAAGGAATTTCGTTCCTTTTCAGTTATTGTTCTGTGCAAAGCTTGCGCTTCAATCAGAACTCACATGCGCAACATATACCTTTTAAAGGAGCTATTACTCTTCTAATTGAGCTTCTGAAAGAGTCTGCTTAAATTTATTACACTCATTGGCCTTCTAAGGCTTTTCATCGCATTATGCCTCCTGTCCTTCCCTCTCCGCTTTTGACGAAACCAATTCGAATAGGTTCATTTGATTATCATTGTTATTTAAGTCATTGTTGTCAGTATAATGAACAGAAATTGACCAATTTACGAACAACAGCTGATTAACAACTCAAATAAAGCGATCTTTATAATGATCGCTAATAACAGCAGCAAAAAAAATGTAGAAAAAAAGTGAAAGAAGAAACTTTTTTGATAGTACATAAAAAGCAACAAACAATTGCAATTGTTAGACATCAACACATCAAAATTATAATAACCATAACGAGCAGTAGCATTGAATAAGTGCAACCAACACAAAGCAATTATACTAAACATTGACTGTTTGCAGAATGATGAATCTGACTGATGGTATCAGTAAAATAAGTTTTTTTTTTTTTGCTGTTGTTTATTTGCTTTTCTTTTTTTTTTTACCGACCACAGATTGCTACAATTGTTATAGCGAAAAAACTAAAATTGACAATTCATAAAATTGTTCATTCTGTTTCGTGGTACAAACTTAGTGCTTTACAACTAACTGATTAACAACAGCAACAGAACCATCTGTCTTAAAGTCATCTGACTGAGCTGGTTTCCATAACTTAGTTCCCGATATTATTATTTAATCTTAAATAATGCTTCACTTAACGCCACTAATTGAGAAGATAACCAATATATTCATCACATTTATTTCCTG